TGGGATTCCAGAGGTAAGTTATACATTACGTCACTCGTATATCTATAACAGTCACTATAGTCATGTATTAAATTGTTAGTGATTGTAAATGCTACAGTATATGTTTGTTAACCAATCATGAACTACACAACAAAAATTCTAAATCAAATTAGATTTGGCCATATGTAGTCAGTCCATTTGTTGTCATGGTTACTCATGAAATCACTTCTTTTGTCCCAGGTGACTCAGAACATGTTTCAGGAGGGGCTGCATCAGGTGTTTTTTAAGGAACACCCTTTGCCCCGCCCTCTTTCAGCTGACGACTCCACAACTGGAGAGCTGATGGAAGACAGGCTGGTCCGCTGGTTTGGGACAGTGGTCAACACCCGCCTCCTCCTGTCTGGGGTAACAAAAATGTAGTTTAACTGTCGTAGACACCCACCAATCCCAATAAAACTCGGATTTATTGAATACATATGCTCATCTGTAAATGTCAATATAATATTAGACTATATATTCTGAATGGCATACTACCATCTTATATTACTGCAGTTTAAAGTATGTGTACTGTGAATAGTATGCAGATGTTTCTGTATACACACTTGCCAAAATAGTGGTTAACAACCAAAGTTCAAGTCTTTAAGGTCAACTTCACCTTCAGTTTTCAGTTTGACCAGGGTTATTATTGTTAACTAAAACTAAAACCATAGAAAACATTTCCATTACTTGACAGAAAATAAATGTTAATTTAAATTTTTATATATATATATATATATATATATATATATATATATACATTTTTCTATTTCAGCTAGTTTCCAGGGCAACATTTCTCATTTTTGTTTAGTTTAACATGGTGTACTAAAATAACTAAAACTAATAAAATGACTAAAACACAACAAAATTACTAAAACGTTAACTAAAAATTACAATTATTTTTTTTAAATATCTCAAAATATTAACAAAAAACTATAATAGTATATCAGTGATACTAAAATAACAGAGTTTGACAAATTATAGCAGTATCATCTGATATTTACCGTCTTTTTCTTGACTCATCATTTGCCCAGACTGCCAAAAGTTGACATAAACTGGATCAGAGATTAAAAAATAACCATTTTATTTTCAAAATGAATGCCACTTTTTGAATTAAACATGCAACATGATGACAACATGCCATACTATTATTTGAAGCATTTATTATTGCATATGGCTTACTGCTTCACATACTATTTTTGACCAATAGTGGGCAGTTTATACTGTAGCCTAATTCTTGCTTTTGTCCCTCTTTTCTGTCTTTCTCTTTCAGGTTGTTCAGATTTTCAGTGCTGCCTTCTGTATTCTCTCCACTTTCTCTTATTCTTGTTTGACTTTTAGCTGTTCTGCATCTATGACAGCTCCAATATGGTGTAGCCTGTTTGTAAGTGCTCCAGTTAACATTTCTGGTTCCCAAATTTTACAGTAAATCAGAACAAAGCCATAATCAGTCTGACATGCTACAGCCCAACTAATTAGTTTTTCTTATATATATATCTGTTTATGTCAGTATCTAGCCACGGGGTCACTTGCAATTGACGTCCAAAGGAAACCCAAAAAAATCAAAGTAAGTTTGTTTTAAGTCTTTTTTTTTTTTTTTCAAACCACATGTTTATTTTCTAGTTTAGGACAAATGTAATTGTATATTCTTGACATTTCATGATACTAGGCTTCTTGTGTGCTTGTTTGAGTAAAGTGAGATCTCTGCTGTTGTAGGTCATGACTCTGATGGGCCTGAATATCTTCAGCATACTGTTTGCAGTTTGTTCTTGTGTCACCTTTTTTATCAAATCCTCACAAATGGAAAAAGCCATGTACAGAGAAACTGCCAATCAATAATCCACTAGAATTTACCAATGAAATTAGTTCATGGCTCTCTCCATCTCTCTCTCTCTCTCTCTCTCTCTCTCTCTCTCTCTCTCAGCGCATTGGTGTGCATGCAAATGGAAAAAGCCACCCCTCAGCAGGTGCGCATGTACAGAGAAACTGCCAATCAATAATCCACTAGAATTTACCAATGAAATTAGTTCATGGCTCTCTCCATCTCTCTCTCTCTCTCTCTCTCTCTCTCTCAGCGCATTGGTGTGCATGTGCTGAAGGGCAGTGGTTTCATGTCCATCCTCCAGTGTATGTTAGCAGCCATATACATGCTCTTTCTGATTTGGAGAGGTATGAAGTCCTACAGCACCCTCTACAGACAGGACTACATCACCATAATCCAGGTACAACATTCACACATTCAAGCTTCAAAATATTATGAATACAGTATTAATACAGGTTTTCTGCCGGTCTTAAAAAGCAAGTCTTAATTCACCCTTCCAAAAATTAAGGCCTAAAAATGTATTAAAGGGGTCATATGATGCGATTTCAAGTTTTCCGTTCTCTTTGGAGTGTTACAAGCTGTTCGTGAATAGATAAGATCCCTAAAGTTGGAAAGACTCAAAAGTCTCAAACCCAAAGAGATATTCTTTATAAAAATTAAGACTTGTCCACGCCCTCCTAAAATGCCTCGTTCTAACACGCCCCCACATGTCTACATCACTGTGTGGGTCACTACGTCACAAGATTTGCATAACACCGCCCAAATGTTCACGCAAAGAAAGAAGGCGTAACTTTGATTCTTGCTGTAGTATTGTTGCCGCCGCCGCCATGTTGTGGAGACACTGTGTGTTTCGTTGTGAAAGCGAAACTACTTTGTTTGGCCTTCCAAAAGAGGACACAACTAGAAATCAGTGGTTAAGTTGTATTTACAACACCGTTCCAGAACAGTTCAACCCAAATATTCAGATGTGTGCAGCGCATTTTATGGAGGACGAGGACTGTTTCCTGGAAGAGTAGCCTACAATGCCGGTGTTCTGACAAATAATGCTGACTCACAGCCTGTAAGTATGCTTTCATATTTAAAGGATTTGCCTCTGATGATTCAAAGGCGAGTTTTGAGCAGTGTAGAGTAGCGCTTGTTGTTTGTCATTTCTCCGATCACAAATGCAGACATGGTTTTATGTTTACGCGGCGAGATGCGATGCAACTCGTAAAAATACAGTGTAAGTCATTATGATCAGTAATTATGTCCCCAGTGGATGCAACAAATGCCTCGTTTGTAATTGGTTTTATTGGCGTTGTCTCATCGCGCCGGGACACGGCATTACAGTATGATAAGCGGTGTAACATTTCCGTCACACGCTTGAGGTATTCGGCTAATCACAACGCACTGGATAGCTGGCCAATCAGAGCACACCTCGCTTTTCAGAAAGATGAGCTTTGTAAAAATTGACGCGTTTCAGAAAGGCGGGGCATAGAGGAGAAACAATAATGTACAGTATGTGGAAAATAATGTTTTTTGAACCTTAAACCACATAAACACATTTCATTACAACAAATACACAAAATAATGTTATTTTTTAGCAATGTCATATGACCCCTTTAAATTGGAGCAGAAAGTCTTAAATTCGTAAAGCCATGGCATTAAATGTTGAATGCATTACTAAAAATGAATATCTTCCTCAATATTTTTTGTCTTGTCTTCCAGTACAAATGTATAAACATTCTCAAATCAAGAAACATTTGAGATGCAACATAAAACTCTTTCTGAGAAATTGATCAAAATTTAGCGTATGATTAAAAACAAGAACAATAATGTTAATGAAATATGAAAACTTGTTTTTGATTTGAATTAAGTTGATTTTTCTGAGCCGATTGGCAGAATTTTATCAGAAAACAAGACTTCAACAAGAATCTTCAGACATTTTCACTGGAAATCGAGACAAAAATACTGATGAAGAACATCACTTTTTTGGAGTGTGATCAGAACGTACAGTAAAAGTTATTTCCATATGATAGCTAAGCTATTTTTGGTAAATTAATAGAAAAAAGTAATGAGAGATCTGTTGGAACTTGTATTTTCAAACTTTGTGTCGATAATACAACTCATTCTGTTCTCCCTAGACTTTTACATTTAGAGAACATATTGAAGTATTGTGTTCCCTTGAATTTATTCCTTAAATTTTCATTAATTGGTCTTTTAAAAAGTCTACTTTGAACATGCAGAAACCTTGTAATGTTTATTATATAGTTAATGTAGTTAATATAATATAGTTAAATCTGACCTCTGTTTGTCTTAGAACTCAGATGAACATGCAGATCCACTGCTGGAAAATGAACAGTTCAGCCTTTGAACGGTCGGTGTGTGAAATCAGGAAACCTATGCAAACAAATATATGGCTTATTTTATTTTATCAAGAGAATAAATATATTTTTAAGCTTTTGCACCCAGGTTTACAATGACAAATAAGTGATATTGCAAAAACCTGAATATATATATATATATACTACATATTTCCGTTTGTGAAAATCCCAAACAATATATGAACATAATTTATAAGTTATAGTCAATGTATAATTTATATGCATTCAATACATATGCATGTCATTTGTGAGGATCAACAAGGATTTTGTGTATTTTTATATTTATATACGTCATACTGTTGATTCTATGAAGACAACATAAGATTAAAATTTACCATGTTTACTTTCTTAACAGTTTTTAAAGGGATAGTTCACCCAAAAATGAAAATTCTGATATTTTGAAGATTGTTGGTAACCAAACAGTTGCCGGTAGCCATTGACTTCCATATTTCCCCCCCCATAATATGTATATCAATGGCTACCAGCAACTGGTTACTAACATTCTTGAAAATGTCGTCTTCTGTGTTTAACAGAAGAAAGAAACTCATACAGGATTGGAACCACTAGAGAGTGAGTAACTGATGACTGATTTTTCATTTTGATCTGTTTAAGGGTCTTATGCACAACTCATTAGTGGACATTATATTAGAGAAAAATAATTATGCAAATGATTGCATAATCAAAATGTAATAGCGTTATCCATTTATGAAATGACTTCTGCATAGGCAAGGAAAAATAATAGCAACTAATAATGTCAACCTACTTTTCACTAATCAAATACCAATGGATTTTGTCCTGGTTTTCATTATTTCCTCATGAATATTCTGTTTTACTCAGGAATATGGTATTATTACAGATGTTGCATTGTGAATGCTGTTTCATGTGGTCTAAGACAGTTTGTACTCCTTTAATACATCATTTAATGTGTCTTTGTACATGTTGCACACAAGATACTGAAAATTAGTGAGGTTCTGGTTATTAATGTGGCTGAAAGAGATGAGATTTTACCAGATCTACCTCAGACTTTCCCCACATACACAGACATGCATACATATACACACAAACTTCACAAATGAAAGCAAACCGCTGAATATTTCAGTATACACATGCTCACACAAAAACCGCACAGCTTCATTTCTTTGTCAGTTCGGCATCCACGTCCTCTTCAGGTTTAAGGGCGTGCCATTGGGCGATGGGTCGTCTTGGATTGGCTAACATATCTGACCAATGGCGTTGCTCTGTTCCTGTGCTGTTCAGTCCAATGAACACCTTTCCAATGGCATCATTCTTCCCAATTTTGTCATAGTCCAGGACTGTCACCACAACCTGCACTTTCTATTAGGAGATAGAAAATAAGTCAAGAACCATTAATGTGTTCAGTTTCAAGATGGACAGAAATTAGAACTTCAGCTCTACCTGAATCTGCTCAGATGGCACTTCAAAGCTAAATGATTCGTTGTAATATGGGTTCAGTGTGTTCTTCTTAGTTGTGGTTTTCTTTTTCTTCAGTCTTTTGCCGTTCTGCATCAGGTGGATTTTTACATATGGGTCTGTAGAACAGATAATTAATGTCAGAATTAGTAAACTGGGAAATTACATTTCAGATCTGTATTCTGAAATGTGTCAGAATATTATAGGTCACTTCACCCGAGAGACCACCCACATCCATTTTTTTGAGGTTTTTGGCCTCCAGAACGACAACAGTCAGCTTTCCAGCAGTGGGTACGTAGCGCAGAGACAAGCAAACATCACCTAACTGCTCATGCTGTTGAGTCAACAACGAAAAGTCAGGTATTATTTCACTCTTCATTCTGAAATCAACACATTTCTGTCACATGCAGGTGTAGAGGTGTAATTCATGTATACAAATATAATAATATTTTATTTCTAAGGAAATAGAAATGTAAAATATCATTAAAAAATGAGATGAGTATTATCAGTTGTTAATACATTTTATTTTCAGTATGAATTACCCTTATATCTTTGCATAACAAATGTATATCATTTTTATATTTTACATGCATTTATTATGTAAAATATAAAATGCTGCGTGAGTGTATGTGCGCGTGAGTTCACTTGGATGGTTTAAATGCAGAGCACAAATTCCGAGTATAGGACACCATATTTGGCTACACATCACTTCACTTTCACTTTAATTAAGATTTGTATGCAAGTAAGTGTTTAGCATAAATAAATGTATCTAATTTTATTATAAATGATATTCATTTGAAATATTACTTTTTGTTGCATACATTTATATATGAAAATATTAAAATTTGATATTTTATAAATATGTCAGATATGAATATACAGTATCTCACAGAAGTGAGTACACCCCTCACATTTTTGTATGGAGCTGGTGGATGTTAGAGACCGTGCGTTCCTCCACAGATGCTCAATAGGGTTTAGGTCTGGAGACATGTTTGGCCAATCCACCACCTTTACCCTCAGCTTCCTTAGCAAGGCAGTGGTCGTCTTGGAGGTGTGTTTGGGGTCGTTATCATGTTGGAGGTTTGGCATTGGTAAAATGTGCTTGGAAAAAAATATGAACAGAACATCGAAATCCCTAATAATAATTACACACACATTGCATGTATGTGTGTACACACACACACACACACACAAGACATAAATTCTATTCAATTTGTCTAATAATTTGTACCTGTTTTGTTCTGTCCTCTTTCACATTTGACAGGTTAATGGTGTTCTTTTCATTTTTCTCTTTTCCACCCTTTTCCTTTTTCTTCTTAAATACCATCTTCTTGCAGAAACACAGGCAGCAGCTGAGCGTGATGAGGACTATGAGGAAGCCGAGGGCCACCAGAGCCCAGGATGGTACTGAAATGACACACACAGGAACAACAATAAATACACAGGTAAGTGAGTGTTTATGTGTGTGAGAGAGACTGTGTACTCACATGGGACTTTATGAAGCTTATTCAGAAACTTGCTTCTGATGCTATGAGCCAAACTCTCTGCGGTTGTAGTTTGAGGCTGAATGGTCGTGGGTGGAGAACTCGGAGGTCCAGGTATCTTTGATCCATTCTGTGCTGGAGATGAGGAATGACCAGCCAGTAGTGCATCACCCTCATGCATTCTGAGGACATGCAATGGAGAAGTGCATTATCTGAAGAGTTGCATGTGACTTTATAAAGTTTTGAACTCTCTAATAACCTTTGGCATTTGCACAGATGATAGTGAGCGTAATGCTGATGCACTGGAAGCTTATTATAAGGTGTAAAGGCAAAGGCAGGTTCACATTCAGCACATACAGAAGGTGACATGATGCTCCTTAACCTTGGATTATTTTGAGAAATGCTGAGTAGGAATTCATTGATTTTCTCTCTATTTACAGTGAAATGAGACACAGAAAGCCAGTGACACTGATACCCCCGAGACACTGATACCCCCGACTCAAACTTAGACCTGAATATCTAGCACAAATAATAATAAACATGCATTTATATATACACAACACCAATACGATTCCATCAAACAAGTCCTTCTGATAATGCAAACCTTAGAAGCTTTCATATAAAAGTATTTATTCATTGATTAGTTTATATAAAAATGCATGGATAACCTTAGACACAACCTGTGTTTGTATGCACATAAAAGTTCACTGTTAAGTGTGTATGTAATATAAGGATTGTAAAAAAAATCACATTCTATATTTCAGGAGGAAGAACACTTACCTGCAGCTCTGATTTAGAAGTGCACTCGACAGGCAGGTTATCTGAATTACTATGAAGAAAGAACAGAAAATTAAAAACTTAAAACTAAGGTCATCTGAGAGAGATGTCTTGTGCGTCTTGGCAAGACTCTTTCTTTCAAAGAAAGAAAATATCAAGATGTTGACGGAGTTTAACACTGCTAGAGAGACGATGAGAGAGAGAGAGCATCCAATTGCAAGCTGTGCAGCAGAGGGTGGAGACATATGGAAGTTATGACAGGTTTTAATGAGGGATGATAAAAACAATTTGAAAATTAGGGGTCACATTAAGATACCGATACTGGTTATTTCCCAAAATGTTTGGAGGACATACATAGGCATTTCTAAATTATGGTTGCTACACCGTATAATAAAATCCGTTAAAAGCAAGCTTGTCTTTAACAAATATATTTGGCTCATGTTTTAATTTTGCATGCTGATTTGAGAGCATAAGAAATATAAACTATAGTTTATTATAGTTATATTATAATGTATAAATATGTCAAATTAATAATACATATTTATAGCCTGTATTTTTAAATGAGAATATCTGTTCAAGAGATTTATGTTTAAAGATTCTATTGAACCTGAAATGGTGAAATCCTCTAGGTTTTATGCAATATATCAAACCTTTTCAATAAAAAGATAGATGTTTGTTTTATTTAAATTTTTTTCATTTGTTATTAAAGGGGTCATATGATGTGATTTCAGTTTTTCCTTTCTCTTTGGAGTGTTACAAGCTCTTGGTGCATAAAGAAGATCTGTAAAGTTGCAAAGACTAAAGTCTCAAATCTAAAGAGATATTCTTTATAAAAGTTCAGAGTCAGCCACGCCTACCTAAAACGGCTCGTTCTAACACGCCCCCACATATCTACGTCACGATGTGGGAAGATTTGCATAACGCCGCCCAAATGTTCACGCAAAGAAAGAAGGCATAACTTTTATTCTCGCTGTAGTATTGTTGACGCTGCAGCCATGTCGTGAAGGCGCTGTGTGCTTCGTTGTGAAAGCGAAACTACTTTGTTTGGTCTTCCAAAAGAGGACGATATCTGCTTCGTCATGCTAGAGCTGATCCGTGCTGGTCGCTGAGGAAATACATCAACTTCGCGCTGTGGATCGGCTTTCACCGTGGACGAAGCGGAGTCCAGCCCGGTGTCGTCACATGTGGTTGCCGCATGCATCACAATATGGTAAGGGGCGTAACATTTCCGTCACACGCTTGAGGAATTCGGCAAATCACAACCCACTGGATAGCTGGCCAATCAGAGCACACCTCGCTTTTCAGACCAATGAGCTTTGTAAAAATCGACGCGTTTCAGAAAGGCGGGGCATAGAGGAGAAACAATAATGTACAGTATGTGGAAAATAATGTGTTTTTTGAACCTTAAACCGCATAAACACATTTCATTACACCAAATACACAAAATAATGTTCTTTTTAGCAACATCATATGACCCCTTTAATAATTGCATTACTAGACACTTCCGCCGTCTGTCCGGTAGGTGTCAGTATATGCCCGTATGTTTACAGGAAGAACGATCACATGGGAGAAGAAGTGCGTCGCCTGGATACTGCATGAAGCTTGAGGATGTTCAACAGATTAGAAGGTTATTATCGTTTCGAGATCATTTTACACCGTTTTGTTGGGTTTGTTTTGGTTCAGATCTTTGGCTTCGTGTTTTTCTCTTTCTTTTGGATATCCAGCTGTGTAATGATAGCTGTATGACGAATATCACTGGTGTATTGTGCACAAAAGTGCCACTTTTTAGATAAATGCAAACAAATTTGATTGTTTATTAGAAATATGATTTACTTTTAGTGTGTCTGTCCTCATATATTGATGTTTTTGATGTGTGTTTTTGTTGAATACATTCTCTTTGTTAGTGTTATCATACATGCGTTAACGTTGTTGTTGTGTGTGTGTGTGTGTGTGTGTGTGTGTGTGTGTGTAGATGCAGGAGGAGTGTGTGTCTCTGCAGGTGTGTGTCAGTGTGGTTGGAGCGCTGGAGTGTGTAGTCCGCCGTTGTCTCGGTCCAGACGGTGGAAGTGTGCTGTTCACACGAGACACAGGAGAAGCTCTCATCACCAGACATGGACAACGCGTTCTCCGCACACTCCACCTGCAGCACCCCATGGCCAGGTCTCTTATTTTTCAAATACAAAAAAGGCAGTGTAAACAGTATATTTTAAAATATGTTTTATTCCTGTGATGCAAAGCTGAATTTTCAGCATCACTACTCCAGTCTTCGGTTTCAAATGATTCTTCAGAAATCATTCTAATATGCTGATTTGCTGCTCAAGAAACATTTCTTATTATTATCAATGTTGAACACAGTTGTGCTGATTATTATTTTGTGGAATAATCACAAATTTGATTTCAGGATTCTTTGATGAATAGAAAATTCAAAACAACTGCATTTTTTTGTAATAATGTAAAAGCCTTTACTGCGACTTTTGATCAATTTAATGTATCCTTGATGATACATAGGACGGACGGTGGAAAGAAGTGAACGCCTCACTTCTTTCTGGGACTTTTCCAAACTCCCTGAAAACTGCAGTTGTTAAACCCCTTCTGAAAAAGAGAAATCCTGATAACACCATATTGAGCAACTATAGACCGATATCAAATCTTCCTTTTATAGGAAAGATTATTGAAAAGGTAGTCTTTAATCAGCTGAACAAATACTTAAACTCAAATGGATACCTGGACAATTTTCAATCTGGTTTTCGACCGCATCACAGCACAGAGACAGCACTCATTAAGATAATAAATGATATTCGCTTAAATTCTGAATCTGGCAAAATATCAGTGCTGGTACTACTAGATCTCAGTGCTGCGTTTGATACTGTCGATCATAACATACTACTAGAGAGACTGGAAAACTTGGTTGGGCTTTCTGGCATGGTAATTAAATGGTTCAGGTCATACTTAGAAGGGAGAGGTTATTATGTGAGTATAGGAGAGCATAAGTCTAAGTGGACGTCCATGACATGCAGAGTCCCACAAGGCTCAATTCTTGCACCGCTCTTGTTTAGCCTGTATATGCTCCCACTAAGTCAAATAATGAGAAAGAACCAAATCGCCTATCACAGCTATGCAGATGATACCCAGATTTACCTAGCCTTATCTCCAAATGACTACAGCCTCAAAAATACAGAAAAAAACCTAATCTTGCAAAATGTTATTACAATATAAAATATCTTTTAAAATATAATTTATTCCTGTGATCAAAGCTGAATTTCCATCAGCATCATTACTCCAGTCTTCAGTGTCACACGATCCTTCAGAAATCATTCTAATATGCTGATTTATTATTAGAATTATCAATGTTGGCAACAGTTGTGCTGCCAAATATTTTTTTGGAAACTGCGATACTTTTTTCAGGATTCTTTGATGAATAAAAAGTTTAAAAGAACAGCATTTATTCAAAATATAAATCTTTTCTAACAATATAAATCTTTGCTATGACTTCTTAAAAATTGAACACGTCCTTGCTGAATAAAAGTTTTAATTTCTTTCAAAAAAAGAAAGAATAAAAATGTACTGACCCCAAACTTTTGAACGGTAGTGTAGATTTCTATTTTAAATAAATGCTTTTTAACTTTTTATTCATCAAAGAATCCTGGACAGAAGTATCACAGGTTCCAAAAAAATATTAAGCAGCACAACAGTTTCCAGCACTGATAATAAATCAGCATATTAGAATTATTTAATTATAATATTTTTATATGAAAATGATGGGGATTTATTTAGCATTTGTTATCTTTGTTCTTTAGGATGGTGTTGGACTGTGTGTGTGCACATGCTAAAGTTACTGGAGATGGCACGAAATCATTCCTTCTCCTGCTGGCTGCGCTGTTACGAGGAATTCAGGACTCACACATGCAGCGCAATGGATCTTGGAGCATCCCTAGTCTTCAAAATCTTGCTAATCGCCTGTTGGCTGTGAGCAGGAAGGAGCTGGAAGATGTCGTAACACACAAAATTACCCCATATGCCTCATTGTACTGTAGTCACCATAGTTACAAACTGGAGGGCAGCATTCTTGATTTGTTGATCGGCGGGTATATTTCTGGAAGAGTGGGCATCGGCCAGGTGGATGTACTGAAACGAGTCCTGTGTGAGTTCTACCACAAAGTCAGTCAAGATCAAAATGCAGTAGAAACAATCTCATTCATACATTCACACTTCTCTTTTCTACATACGTCCGTGACAGGACTTCCTATTGGCTGCTCAGAGGTGATTGAAGGCCTGATTGTGACTTGTGATTGGTCAGTGTGGACTGGACCAGCAGGATCAGTAAAAGCACTCATTTTATATGAGAGTTTTGGAGCTTCCTTTGTCGCTGTAGGTGAAAACATATCCGTGTGCATTCAAAAGGACTATCTGCACCGCACAGAGAGCATCATGAAGCAAAAGTTAGCGAGTTTATTGGACTTACAGGTGCATGTGGTGCTGTCTTCCGTGAAGCAGCCAGAAAGTGTGTTACAATGGGCTCGACTGAACCACGTTTCTTTACTTGAGTGTGTCGATTCGGCCCAGCTGGATTTTCTTTCAAACATCAGCGCTGCAGAAACACTCTCTCATCCACCACTTCAACACCTTGTGATGCTCAAGTACTGCAGACGTGTGCAACTCGGCGGGCATCGCTATGCCTGTCTGGGAACGTTTTTGCACATGCACACGCTTGTTCTTTGTGCGCCAGCACCGGGATTTCTTGACCAGATTGTGTGTGTGAGCCAAGGTGTGTTTGCAATGCTGCAACATCTATCTCAAAGCTTCTGTCAGACACTGGCATCCGACCAATCACAGAGTCCTTCTTCGGACCAATCACAAAGCGTGCTTTCATCGCAAGACCTGTGGGGTGGTATTCTGCGTGCAGGTGGAGTGCTTCCTGTTGGTGGCATGTTTGAGTTCTTGCTACATCATTTTTTGTTGAACGAACGTAACTCTTGTGACCCAGAGAGCTGTAGGCTTCTGGCAGAGGCTTTGTTGTGCTTGCCTAGAACGTTGTATTCTCACAATCACAGACGGTTTCTGAATATCCAGACGCGTTTCTTGGATGATCTTAAGCAATGGGACAAGACCAAAGAGCAAAGGTCAGAAATGCCTGAGT